GTCTACTAAGCAGAATTCAAGATTTCTTTGCGCATCTTTTTGCCTTTAGCTCAAATCCCTCTAAAATGTAAAGACAGATCATACATCAAAAATTATGAGAATTGGGGCTGGGGTTGTGGCTCAGCGGTAGAGTACTTAGCTAGCATGTGCAAGGCCCTGGGTTTGATCCTTAGCACCATATAAAAATAAATAAATAAAATAAAGATATTGTGTCTAACAACAACTAAAAAATAATATTTTTAAAAAAAATTATAAGAATTTGTTCTTTTCCTTGTATGTATATGTGTTAAGTTTGATATGTAGCTAAGTTTGTTTATTTTTTAATTCAATTTTAGTTTTTCTGTCCCCTCATCTTTGATAAGGGATATTGTAAAATATGTACATGGTTTAAAAGTCAAAATCTTGTACTAGAGGGAAAGGGAGGGAGAAAGGGAATTGCATGGAAAATGGAAGGAGACCCTCATCTTTATACAGAATACATATATGACAATGTGAGGAAAAAAAAGTGTTGTCACATTAGATTGGGCAGAGAAAAGTGATGGGAGGAGAGGGGAGGGGAAGGGGGGATGGAAGGACAGCAGAATAAAATAGAAATTGTTATTGCTGTATGTATATACGTAACTGCATGACCAATGTGATTCTGCAACCTGTACACTCAGAAAAATGAGAAATTATATCCCATCTGATTCAAATGTATGATATGTCAAGATCATTGTACTGTCATGTGTAACTAATTAAAACAAATTAAAAAATTATTTTAAAAAATCTTATACTAATATACACTCAAAGAAGTCTGGAGGTTACATGCTTCACTGATTTCTGGTTGATCCTTTCTGTATTTATTTTTCCAGAAATATGCAAACAGACACACACACACACAATATATATATATATGACATTTTACATCTGCATATGTAATATTCTCTTTTCCATATATAAAAAGTAGTATACACAGATTATTAAATTGATTTAATGTAAATATTCACATGAAAATATCCCAACTATTGCTTTAAAAGGCCCATCCCTTTGCCCAGGATAGAGCTGGACTGCTTCCCACTAGGATAAAGGGCTTCTCCTCCTCACCCAGAGCCAGATGGCACTGGAAGCAAGAAAGTCAAAGACAGCTAGACTGGTACTACAGGAAGGATCTCCTCCAGCTCCAAAGCATTAGAACCAGAATGTTAATGACAAGAGCACCTCAGAGAAAAGAGTCCACATTTCTCAAATACCATCAGTAGGTAGCTAAAACTTGCAAATGTAGAGATAACCTACATCTCAACTTACTAAAATTCTCTGACATCTGAAAATCAGGATAAATGTGAAGACATTTTTAACCATTTTTAAAAAGGAAAATGATTTGTTTGGTTTTGTTTTTGTTTTTGTTTAATTTTACACACACACACACACACACACACACACATTTAGTTATCAGTGGACCTTTATTTTATTAATTTATTTATATGTGGTGTTGAGAATCAAACCCAGTACCTCACATGTGCTAGGCAAGTGCTATATCACTGAGCCACAACCCCAGCCCCTTGATTTTGGTTTTGAGACAGGGTCTTGCTATGTTGCCCAGGCTTGTCTCAAACTCTTAGGCTCAAGTGACCTCCTGCCTCAGCTTATCAAATAGCTGGGACTATGACCATGCACACCACACCCAGAAAAAAAAAAGTTTTTAATTAAAAAAAAAAAAAAACTATTCAAACTATTCTAAAGTTCATTTGAAAAAATAAAGACCCAAGAATAATCAGGAAATTTTTGAAAAAAAATATTTCCAAATGAGGCAAGATCTAGCTTTTCTCAATATTAACATATTTTATAAAACTAGAGTAATTAAGTGGTTTGATACCATTGCATGAACAGAAAGACCACTATAACAGAACATAAAGTCCAGAAATAGATCCCTATACATACAAGAATTTCACATGTGATAGTAGTAGAATTTCTGACATAAGGAAAAGGATTAACTATTAGGTCAAAGCTGCTGAAACAAATGGAGGGCTATCAGAACCAAAATGAAGTGGACTTCCTCCGTGCCAAAATTAATCTCAAATGGATGAAAAACTCTGAACATGGGAAGCCATCCTACTTTCCTGACTGTAAGTTCCAGTTTTTAGGTGCTAGAAGGACTTTTCCACTCTTGAATTCATAAATTCAACTTGAACATTCCTTCTTCAGCAACTCCTCCAGTTGTAATAAAACAGTCTTACTTTTTAAAAATCTGAATGCAAAATATACACATATAAATGCTATAAAATGTAAAATATTTATAAAAATAAGGTTGGGGAGTAGCTCAGGGATAGAGCACTTGCCTAGCATATATGAAGCCTTAGATTTGATCCCTTTCAAACACACACAAAAAAATTTTTTTAAAGTAGAAAACCAGGGGCTGGGGTTGTGGCTAAGTGGTAGCATACTTGCCTAGCATGCCTGAGGCACTGGGTTTGATTTTCAGCACCACATACAAATAAAATAAAGGTCCATCGACAACTAAAAAATACTTTAAAAAAAAGTAGAGAACCATAAAAATACTATAACAATAATTTAAAGTATGTGTGTGTGTGTGTGTGTGTGTGTGTGTGTGTGTATAAGCATGGTGTACCATCATCCCTAAAGAAAAGAGAGACAATAAAGCATCTTGTTGCTGAATGCCCCCTTTCTGTCCAAAAAATTTAGGGAACAATGACAGTAAACCTGAGCCAGAAAGTCCAAATACATCATATATCTTGTAAGACACTGGTTTTCTCTTATGCACACTAGAAATTCAAATTGAACATTTACTAGTATTATATGAAGAAAGTGTTATATGTAGAAAGCTAGTTTCTTACATGTTCACCAGAACAGTTGCTCCTTGATATGCTGGTCATGTATGCAAGCTAATGCTGATGATATCACTGCTTCTGCAACCAAACATACAAAACAAAACCTCTCTAAGTGGGAATGGGTGCCAAACTAAGAACACTGGAAAAGATATGTGTCATCTGTCCAGCTGGCTGCCACTGAGGGAAAGTAGACACTGCTTGCAAAGCACTGCGAAGGACAGAAGAGCTACCAGTTCAGTCTGTTGTCACTGAACTCTTGGAGCAGTCACTGATCACTCGTAAGCTTTCCCCAATAAATCACGTCTTGGACGCTGTCTCTGTGCAGTTTCTTTGGCCTGGCACAACTGGGCTGTGGATGTGACACATGGCCTTTGAGCTTGTTCCAAAAACACAAAAGCCTTAAAAGATTAATAGTTCTGACTTCATAAAAACACATTTCTTCATGTTAAACAAATAACATAATCAAACCTAAGACACAATTTTAAAAAACTGAGAAAGTATTTGTAACACATATGATAAAGAATAAATTTTTAAAATATGCAAGCTCTCAAAGATCAATCAAAAATCTCACTGGGCAAGCCAGTCATTAAAAAGATACACAGTTGGCTTTAAACCACGGCTTCTCAACCTCTGCACTATTGACATTTTGGACTAGATAATGTTTTGTTTTAGAACTGTCTGTGCACTGTAAGATGTTTATCTGCAGCTAGTTGACTCCACTCACTAGATGCCATTAGAATCTCCCCACAATTATGACAATCAAAAATCTCAGATATTACCAAATAGCCTCTGGGAGTCAAAAAGCTCCATGGTTTATATTTATAAGGAGATCCTCATCCTCACTAGTGATGAAACAAATACAAAATTGAAGTATCATGAGGAGCCATTTTTTTCTCTAATTAGATTTTCATTATCAAATATTTTGTTCTGACCAAATTCAACAGGTTGGATTAGAAAACATCATTCATCATTTGGGTATGCAACCCTTTTGGAGGCAAATATCTATGCTTCTTGTAACAATGATCAAAATTGATTCCACAATTTCGCCTCCAGGAATTTATCCTAGAGATATGCTCAAAACCACACACACTCACTGTGCAAACAGAATTCAGGGTAAATCATGGAAGCAAAGATGGAATAACAACAACAAAAAAAAAAAAAAAAAAAAAAAAAAAACGCGCAAAGGATCTGGTATCCAAAAAATAGGGCACAAGTTAACTAAATAAAGGTAAAACTATGTAATACATTATGCAATCATTAAAAAGAGGAGGAAGACCTGCAGGTACTTTAAAAATGTCTATATATCCCAAGGCATGTTAAGTAAAAGAAGCAAAGCCAAAATGGAGTTTGCTACTATTTTTTCAAATAAGTGTCCCTGTTTGGATGGTATACAAAATAGTTTATAAACCCCTATAATGGAAAGATCAGAAACTAACAGAGACGATTTAAAAGATTCTTCTTTACTTCACACCTTTTTGAACTATTACAGCCTTTTGGCTATGTACCTGTTTCAAGATAATACAGAATGTATCGGTTGTCATTCAGCTGGAAGTAATCAGACTGCACAGAAACAAAGTAGAATGGTATTTGCCAGGGGCTTCAGGGAAAAGGAAAACTGGGAGGCACTGTTTAATGCGCACAGTTTCTGTTTTTGAGAGATGAAAAATTCTGGAGATCAGTTGCACAACAAGGTGAACATACCTAACACTACCAAACGGTACACTTAAAATGGCAAATTTTGTTATATGTTATCTCGCTTAAAACTTTGAAAAAAAATCACTGCCAAAAGATATTTAAAGATCATTTAAGCATCCCAATCATCTTATAACTCTAAAATAAAATGTTCCGAACAAGTGGAAACACCAAGGTCACTAGCTTGTTCCAGTGACCTTTCACCTAGAATTTTCAGGCATTCGGCTAGTCCCACGTAACTGCTTCTAAACCCAAGGTAGGGTTAAGTAGTGGGAAAACCACTCAAGACTCTTTACCTGAGGAAGAGGATTTTACACGGAGGCCCCCTGTAGTACACAACTTGGGGTTACTTTCCACGCACTACTGCAGGTCCTAAGGACCCAACGCCCAGCACCTTCACTGGCCCGGGCGATTCGCAGCGACCCCACCGCGCCATGCACTCACCCAGCCCGATCTCTCCCCGCACTGTCCCCAGCCCCTTACCCGGTGTTGGGTAACATGACTTCCGCAGACCTGATGAGGTGGCGGCAGCTGCTAGCCGGGAGCACTAGGCGCAACTTCAATGCGCATTGAGCTCCTCAACGGCCCCGCCCCCGAGGCCCCGCCCCCGAGGCCCGCAGGGGATGGGCGCTCGAAGAAGGCGGAGATCGCTGAGTGCGCCTGCGCACGCAGGGGGCCGCCGGAGCTCCGCGTTTGTGCCTGTCCCGCGCTCAGCCAGGGCCCTGGAAACCGGCTCTCTGCGCAAGCGCCTTGAGAGGCACCTCCGCCCCGCCCCTCTCCCGGGGTTCTACGGGACAATGGACCTCTGCCCGCGTCTGCCGTATGGGGTGCGTCAGTAGCTACTCACGTCCTTGCTGGAGCCTGGGGTTTTTTCTAGAGCCAGTTTCGGGCCAGGCGAGTGACTGGTCTGCTGGGGACCCTGAGCTCTAGGGACTACCTGGGGTGCTTTGGCTCTCGACCTTTCAGTTCCACCTTTTCTCTCCACCCCATCCTCCCGGCCCGCCGCGGTCTCGGATGCCCCCTTTAGCAATGCTTTCTTTCGGTCGGCAGAAATGCACTTTGGGGCAGAAGCCAGCAAGCGTCGCCTTTCCACTCGCCCACCCAGTGTGGATAAAGCCTTCCTGATCTCACTCGTCTGTGGATAGCCTGTGGTGAGAGGGCAGTTTCTGGAACAGAGATCTCTTCAGAAGTCGCGCTAAAGAATTCATACTAAATCTCTGCAGCAAAAGCCAAATTTGGAGAAGGAAAGTTTTCCTCCTAGAATAAGGTCAATTCTGGGATTCGGTTTTCCTTTGGGAAGTTAAGCCTGGAAGTAACTCAGCCACCCTAAGTGAACCAAAGGCCATGGCATATTTGAAATGAAGAAATTGTTTTGTATTTTGTAGGGGTAGACAGAACGCTAAGGAGATTGATATAGGACGCCTACTTAAGGAAGCTATCCCGTATGGGGTATGTAACTGCCCCGTGTATTGTAGGCCTGTAATGGCTCTGTTTACTCACGTATGTCACCTGCCCAACCTGTCAGTCTCTTATAGGTATTTCAACTTGTGATCCATTATATGGTTCTTCGAGACTTGAGGAATTTACTTATTCAGCAAATATTAGCCCCTACCACGCACAGGTCACTTGAGATACAGGACAAGATCTCCGTGTATATGTGGGAGGAGATCTATCCTAAAAGTGTCTTAGAGAGAGAGAGTTATAAAGACGGTTGAAAAGATGAACTGTCCACTAACTCTTGGGAGCTTTTGCTGAAGGGTATGTATAGAGTGGCATCTCTTGCATAATGTCTAAAAAACTCCCTCCTTTTTGAAAGCACGTATGTCCTTGGTCTTTTAGATTCCACTTCCTTGAGTGGTGTGCTTCTATTTCCATTTGTTAAATAAAAGGAGAGTTCAGCTAAGTGGCAAAACTAAAAACCTTAGCCAACTTTTCAGTCATAATGTTGCTATTTTGTGAAACTGAACGCCTGTACTTATGCTGTTTTTTTATACTTTTGTAGAAGATAAATTTATTCCTAAATTATTAGAGGTAGTTTAAATTTAATCCATTGTATTCAATATTTTGCCTAGTGTTAAAGTATGATTTTGAGTTATCTATGAGCTCCTACACTATTACATTGATAAACCTAGTATTTGATTAATATTAGAGGAGGTAGGTGGGATTGAGGAAGAGGAGGACTTGTGAACATTATTAGATCTGGTTTTAAAAGATGAATGATTTTGGCTTAGAATGAACAATGTAGAAAGTGTTCTGGCTACAATGTGAAGAATAGCTTGGGAATAGATGGCACAGAAGCTCATAATAATGTAATAAGAAAAGTGAAAGGTAACCTGACCTAAAGCAGTAAGAGTGGAAATGGAAAGAGAGGCTTAAGAACCGACCTGATTTAACTAATGATTGGATGTGGTGTCAAACATGACTGCTGGATTTCTAGTGTAAACTCCTGGGAGGACAGTGGTACCACAACCAAGATTGGGGATACTGGAGCAGAAATCCTGCAGCAGACCACTATTGTGCTTTCATCCACAGGAAACATTTAGCTATGTTAATCTTGCAGTGACATATAGTCATGAGATTGAGTCAATAAGATGTCAGCAGAAGTGAGTTAAGCAATGTCTATTGCTTGCCTCAGCTTTCCATCCTCCTTCCTGTAGGTTGGGACATAGATATGGACTTCAGTCAGTCTTCATGCAAATGAAGACAAAACCCTAAGACATTGGTCCTCAAACTTTACCATAAATCAGAATCACACTGTGGGGGGCTGGGGTTGTGGTTCAGTGTAGCACTCTTGCCTCACACATGTGAGGCACTGGGTTTGATCCTCAGCACCACATAAAAATAAATAAATTAAATAAAGGTATTGTGTCCATCTATAACTAAAAAAAAAAAATTAAAAAAACACACTGTGCACAAGAAGGTAGTTTCTTGAAAAATTAAAAATAGCTAGACACAGGAAAATGTGCCTGTAATCTCAAAGACTCAGGAGGCTGAGTTAGGAGGATCACAAGTTCGAGATTAATCTTCCCAACTTAGCAAAACCAAAGAAAATGTAAAAGAAAAATCACCACATGATCCTGCACTTCCTCTTCTGTGCATAGACCCCAAGGAAAAACCAAAGAGAGATTTGCATACCCATTTTTGTAGCAGCATTCTTCAAAATAGATTACAAGTGTCCCTTGAATGAATGCATAAACTAAATGTGGAATATCCAATGTAATATTAACTCACCCTTAAAGAAAATCGTGGCTTATGTGACAACATGGATAAACCTTGAAAACATGTAAAGTTAAATAAGCCATAAAGGGCAAATACTAAATACTTCGATTTATATGAAGGATATACAGTAGTCAAATTCAAAGAGACAGAAAGTAGAAAGGTGGTTTTGTCTGGAGCCAGTAGGAGGGGGCATGACAGAGTTTCAGTTTTAGAAGATGAAAAACGTTTTGGAGACAGATGGAGATGGATGTGTAATTGTTGTACACAGTGTGAGTGTACTTACTGCCACTGACCTGTATACTTAAGAAATGGTAGAGTGCTTGCCTAGCATGCACAAGGCCCTGGCTTCCATCCCTGCACTACCAAAAAAAAAAAAAAAAAGTTAACGATGGTAAATTTTGCCATTATTTTTTCAAAATAAAAAAAAATGCTGGCATATTGGTATATTCCTGTAATTTCAGCTACTTGGGAGGCTGAGGTAGTACAATTAACCAGCCTAGGCAATTTAGAGAGACCCTGTCTCAAAATGAAAATTTAAAACAAGGACTGTGGATGGCACTGGAGTCATAGCACAGTGGTAGAGCACTTGCCTAGCATGTGTGAGGTACTGGGTTAGATTCTCAGCACCCCATATAAATAAGTAAAGATTCATTGAAAACTAAAAAAAAAAAAAGGACTGTGGATATACCTCAGGTGGAGATCACTTGCCTAACATGTACAAGTCTTAGGTTCATTGTCAAAGGAGTAAAAAAGGAAGTGCTGGTTTCAACTATGATGTTTCTGATTCAGTAGAACTGCAATATTTGCTGAAAATTTGCTGTTGTTACTCATCCAGGGAAGATACTTTGAAAACAACTGCCTTAGGGTATGACAGAAACAATGTGGAAGGCACCTGGGTCCCTGCATGATCCTCAAAGGACAGAGTTGCCTTTTCAACCTGGACCATATACCAACCTCCATATCATTATGAGAGAAAGAAATAAACTGCATTTTTAAAATTATTGTATTGCTTTTTTATTGCCTCTAAACTTGTAATTTAATTAGTATAAACCCATTGCAATGGAAAATGACCATCTCAAACTCAACATATTCAGAATTGCTATCAGACACTCAAATGAAGATGTTGGTGAGCAACTTTGAGCAAGCACATCATTTATTAAAGCTGGAAATAATACATTTCATAGCCTTTACCTTATAGGTTTCAAAGATATGTGTATGAAAGTCACCAGCACATGTTCCCTTGATTGCCATAACACATTACACCACAAACTTGGTGGCTTAAAATAGCAGAAAGTTGCTGGGCATGGTGGCACATACCTGTAATCCCAGCAACTCAGGAGGCTAAGGCAGGAGGATTGTTAGTTCAAAGCCAGCCTCAGAAATTTAGCAAGGCCCTAAGCAACTTAATGAGACCCTGTCTCTAAATAAAAAATATGTAAAGTAAGAAAGGGCTGGGCTGGTGATATAGCTCAGTTAGTAGAGCGCTTCTCTCACATGTACAAGGCTCTGGATTCAATCCCCCCTATCACAAAAAAAAAAAAAAAGGGCTGGGCATGTGGCTCAATGGTTAAGTGGCTCTTGGTTCAAGCCTGGATACCAAAACAAGAAAAAAAAAAATAGTAGAAAGTTACTCTTTCACAGTTTTGGAGCCAAGAGTCTGAAATTAGTTTCACTGGGCTATAATCAAAGTGTCAGCAAGCCTGCAATCCTGACTGGAAGCTTTAGAAGAGAATCCATTTATTGCCTCTTCCAGTTTCTACTGGCTTGGTGACTACCAGCATTGTTTGGCTTCTGACTGCATCACACCAACATTCAAGGCCTACATCTTCAAATCTCTCTGTTCCATCTACACATTGCCTTCTGTGTGTGTCAGATTTCCCTCTTTTCCCCTTAATAGTATATCTGTAATGGCATTTGGAGCCCAGCCAGAATACAATGTAGGAAAATCTCCCAATCTAAGAATCTTTAATCACATGTGCAAAGATCCTTTTTCTAAATAAGGTAACATTATCAGGTTCCAGAAACTAGGACCTGAAAAGAAGTTGGAAAAGAAAAAAAAAAAAAAACATTCAATGAAGAAAGAATGATTTGAAAACTAGTTTTGAGGGCCGGGGATGTGGCTTAAGCGGTAGCGTGCTAGCCTGGCATGCATGCGGCCCGGGTTCAGTCCTCAGCACCACATACAAAAACAAAGATGTTGTGTCTGTCGAAAACTAAAAAATAAATATTAAAAAAAAAAGAAAACTAGTTTTGAATGCCAAATAAGTCTCACTGATTTCACTCCATATCTGCTTGATAAAACCAACTCAAAATACTCCATATTTCCTTGATGGGCTA